CCTCTTCCCCACCCCCCCATGCCAAGGACCCGCTCTCCGCCCCGGCAGCCTGAGTAACTCCACCGAAGGAGTTGTCTCTATTTCCATAAACCAATTATACCCAGATAATCTCAGGAGATTTAAACATCAATATCCTAAATGATAGCACGAGGATGGCATGTGATTGTTGCATCTCTCTTTACATTCTGGTGCTGCTCCATCACCGCATTGCCATGGTAACGGGGGAGTGATGGAGGGGAGGGGAGGGTGGTATTAGGGATGCAGGACACATGAGGGGCCTTTTAGTAACCATAGTGAGGGAACCAAGGCAGAAGGGAATCAGTTACTGTTTTTCAGGGCGCTTGCTTTTGAAGGAGAGTAGCATGTTGCAGTTAAAAGGTGGGTTTTTACGGACGGGAAGAAGCGGTCAGTGGATGTGCCGTGCTGGTGGGGACCTGGTGGCAGCCGATCACCCCGAAGCAGCTTGGTACCACCAGCAGAGCCAGCCCGAGCTCAAACTGCCGGTACCCAGAGCATCACCTCCCAAAATCAGGAGTGGGATGGGAGGAGGGGAGCAATTACCACTTGTACAAGCCCTCTGCATCCCACAGCGCTCTGGGGCTGTGTGCATCGCTTCCAGATCTCGGTGCAGAGTATCGGGGAGGGAAAGACTTAGCAGAGCAAATCTGCAAGACCTCGAGCAGCAGGAGAGCCTGCACAGGCATCCCGACGGGCTCATCCCTGCCCCGGAGAGGGTGGAGCTTCTCCTCTGGGGCTGCCCTGGGGACCTGGCAACAGCTTGGCTTTGCTCCTCATCCTCTGAATGCAGAGCAAATCCCCCCTCCCTGCTTTCAGGGACACTCGTGGGTTTGTTCTGCGCCTTCTTTTCGCTCCCCCTTGTGCACAGATGAATTGCTCCCGGACCGGCGTGACGCAGGGATGACCTTGGCACGCTGGAGCCAGGTGTGTTTGCAATTAATGGCACAAAGCGCCTGGCTCTGGCCAGCTTCTCCTCTCCATTGAGTACCGCCGCTGGCGGGGGGAAGGACCCCCCCGCCTTTTCCTTTGTTCTTCAGCACCAAGAGAAGAAACTCAAGGTCGCTGCTGAATGAGCCGTCTGCTCCCAGCCGGGGGGATGGGGGGGAGTCTGATGTCCCCTCACCTGCGGGTTTGCCGGTGCAGGCAGCAGTCCTGGTCGTGGTGCAGATGGGGTGCTCCAACTGGGAAGGGGTTAGGGTGTTCCTGCAAGCAAAGCCTTTTGGCTCTGCGATGTTCCCAAAAATAAACCAAGGGGCTCAGCTGATAACCCCAGAGCGAAGGGGTGAGGGAAGCAGGACCAAGCAGGGTCTTTGGGGGAACCCCTCCTCTCCCCAGCACCCAGCTTAGGTCATGGTGGGCTGAAGATGGACCATCCCGGGGGTAGAGGGTCAGGAGCAGTGTAAAACCTGAGTTCCTCAAAGGAAGGGGGAATTTAAAATTCTTCCTTTCTCATTCTGAACCTTTTCAGAAATTGCTCGTACATCTCAGTAATTTATTTATCTGCATTTATTTACCTAAACTGCACCTGAGCCCCCCAGGCTCAGCACCAACCACAGTGGGGCTGCGTGACGGGGAACAGCATTGCCTTCCCCAGGGCTGGATTCGGCGACCGCAGCCTCAGCAACAGCCCGGGTTTTGGTCCTGCAAACCATGGCTGTGCTGTGTGGCCTTTTCTTCCCTGAGATAGATGCACCTGCATTACCTCTGCAGGGATGTCGGCCCTGAGAAATAACTCACCCTGTAGAGATAATAACTTCTCAAGCCGGATAAATAAATATTGACGAAGGCTGGACGCCGCCCTGCTAAGCCCTTTGCTGGGCACCCGGGTGTCACACGCAGCGGGGTGGCTGCATGATGCTGTCCCCGTGCAGCGTAGCCGAGACGTTGATGTATAATAACTCCCCAGGGGCGGGCGGCTTTTTCTTT